CTTCCTTTATGCCTTTGTTCCTTCCTTCCTTCCTTCCTTCCTTCCTTCCTTCCTTCCTTCTTTCCTTCCCTCCTTTCTCTCTCCTCTCTCCCTTTCTTCCTCCCTCCCTCCCACCAATAGTGCATTAGTGTACTTATTTTCTAATAGTCTCTTCAATATGTCATTTCCCTTTTTGTCATCTATGCCAATCTGCTAAGTCTGAGGCAGAACCTCAAAAAAAATTTAAGAATGTTTTTATTTTATTTTTCTTAGTTACATTTAGAACAATTTTAATTCATTTTTTATATTTGAATTATAATTCTCTCCCCCTCCTTAAAAAGATAAGCACTTTGATATAGATTATACATGTGCAGTCATGGAAAATATATTTCTGTATTAGTCATATTGCAAAAGAGAACCCCAGAGAAAAGAAGGAAGGAAGGAAGGAAGGAAGGAAGGAAGGAAGGAAGGAAGGAAGGAAGGAAGGAAGGAAGGAAGGAAGGAAGGAAGGAAGGGAGGGAGGGAGGAAGGAATTCAAAAGTATGCTTTGATTAGCATTCAGATTCCATCAATTCTTTCACTGGAGGTAGATAGCATTTTTCATCATAAGTTCTTGGAATTGTATCATTGTATTGCTGATACAATATCATTGTTACTGCATACATTGATCTCCTGACTCCACTCACCTCACTTTGCATCAGTCCATATAAGTCTTCCCTGGTTTTCTGAGAATTGTTTTAATGTGTATGTCTCTAATTATTAGTGATTTGGAATATTTTTCATATAGTTTTAGAAGGTTATTCTCTCCTTAACCAGACCAATCTTCTTCCTGACCTTTCATATGCAAGTTAATACAGCCAGCCAAAAACCCTTTGAGCTTTGGGATCACGCTTATACAAGTAAGATTTAATTTTCAGAGGCTTTTCTTTTAGTTCTTCAAAGAATTTCTCTTCCTTTCATGCTCTAAAACAGATGTTGATGCATAAATTTCAGTTATCAAGTAATTATTTTCTTACTTACATTTATTATAAACATTGCAATAGGTTATAACCAAGTATCCAATGACATGATGTTTATTGTTCCTTTTGGATGCATGATAAATTCAACTCACCACAAAGTATCTGTGAGCAATCCTTCTATTTAGTTCCAATTTTCTTTTCTTTTTCTTTTTCTTTTTTGCTTAGGCTATTGGGGTTAAGTGACTTGCCCAGGGTCACACAGCTGGTAAGTGTTAAGTGTCTGAGGCCAAATTTGAACTCAGGTCCTCCTGACTCCAAGGCCAGAGCTCTATCCACTGTGCCACCTAGCTACCCCTAGCTTCAATTTTCTAATGGACTTCCATGCAATATTATGTACAGAATTTTAGAGACAATGGGAAACCTACAATTCATCTAGTCCAGCCCCCTTATTTTACAAATAAGAATACTGAGGACCTGAAAGGTTAAATAACTTGACTGACTGAAGCCACATTCTACCCACTGCTCCTCTTTCCCAGCTTCTTTTCTTGATTTAAATTAACAAAAGCTTTATCACTACTCTTTACTGCCTTACATTTGGCATTCCCTTAATTTAGCCTACATTTAACTCTGCAACTTTCATTCACTGCTTCTAATTCTGACCTCTCATAGCAAACAGACAATTCTAATTCTTCTTCTACATGACAGATATTAAATTACTCAATGACAAATATCATCTCTCCACCCAATCCCAACCCATTCCTAACAAGGCTTCTCGTTTCCAGGTTAAATATTCCTAATTCTTTCCAAAGATGCTTTTATAAAATGTCATTCATTCCCCTCACCATAATTGATCTCCTCTGAACACACAGCTTGATTTGCTGAAATATTTTCTAAAATGTGACACCCCAAACTACCTAACCAGGGCAGAATAAAGTGTGACTATCACTTTCCTGATTTTATTCATTATGCTTCTCAATATGGTCAAGGATTCTGTTAGGTTTCTTAGTCATACCTCTAGTATGATACCTAGTCATAGGTCTTTATCTAGCTTCTAGTCATATCTCTATCCATTTTGAACTTGTATAGTTGATTCCTTCAAGCCAAATAAAGGACTTGACATTTATCTCTGTTAAATTTCATTTCATTAGACAGGGGTAATTGTTCTATCCTACTGAGATTTTTCCTGAATGTGCCATCTAATATCCTAGTTTTCTCTCCTAGCTTCCCATCATCTGTTAATTTTATAAGTACATCATCTATATCTTCATCTAAGTCATGGACAGAAATGTTGACCAGCATAGGACCAGGGCCAAATTTCTTTCTTTTTTTTTTTTTCAGCCAAAGACAAGGTTTATTAGAACATCCATCACATTGGGCAGACTCTTAAGAAGTCTGAACCTTAGTAAGCTGTTGGCTAGATTATAAGAATCTAAGCGGTGGCTAGATTTTAGTAATCTGAGCACCTTAATGGTGACAAGATGGAAAAGATGATGGAAGATAATCATTGAGCATTCTTTTTTTTATATATATATTTTTAATTTTTAGGCAATTGGGGTTAAGTGACTTGCACAGGGCCACACAGCTAGTAAATGTCAAGTGTTTGGTCTGAGGCCACATTTGAACTCTGGTCCTCCTGACTTCAGGCCGGTGCTCTATCAGAGTCAAATTTCTTAGACACATGCTAGGGAATCTTGCTTCAGGTTGGCATCAAACCATTGTGTACACTTTGAACCTAGTCATTTAACCAGTCCTGAATTCAATTAACTATATTATTACACATTAGATTTGTATTAGTCTACCTCTTTACATTTTGTTCACAAGTATAGAACTTTATCAAATAACTTGCTGAAATGCAAGCATTCTGTGTCAAATTCAAATTCATCAAACATTTATTAGCACTTAATATATGAATAACACATTCCCTCCACTTACAAAACTTAAATTCTACTAGAGGCAGGGGTGGGAAACAATGAAGGAGGGGACACAAAAACATGAAGAAGTATAATACAAGTTAGATTATGATGGGGCAAAGGAGAGATTCTTATAAGGCATTCCAAGCAGGGTAGAGAGCAGCTTTCAGAAATGCATGGAGGCAGGAGACACCATGTCAATACACACATTCAATGCCCCATGCATACATCAAAGTATGTAAGACTGTTATGAAGATAATTCCGTTCAATGGTCATCAGAATACCTGGGTTTCATCAAGGCATTCTATCTTATTGTACAAATTGAAAGACTATTAACACATATATTTCAGACTAGCTTTGCAGATGGGACAACAAGCTTGACCTAGAATTAAATGGAAAGATGAGATCAGGTTGTATCACATCTGGGAAAGTCAACTGTTTTTATTGATCCTAAACTGGTTGCTTTCCCCAAAGCCGAGCTATTTCCAACTGCAACGTCTTTACAGAATAAGGGAGAGGAAGGGCTACTTGCAAGGTAGTAAAAGCCTCAGTAGCATTATCATGATTCATAAAATCAGCTGACAGTTATTCAGCAAATCAAAAGCTTCATATATGGACATTAGGCAGATACAATTTACTTTTAAAAATAACATTCAAGGCCACCAATTTTATATATTGGTAGGATAGAGGTAGAGCCTATAAATCAAATAAATAAATAGAATTTTAGAAACCTCTAACTCTGCCCACAACTGTCCTAACACCACAGTAGAAATCAAGAGCAACGTTGGAGGAAAGATAGAAGTAGACCTGAGACAGAAAAGATAAACACAGTCTAGAGTGGAGAATGTGTTACGTGAAATACAGGAAGTTCCATTTACACTGGACTTTACTGTTAATCAAATAAATGATAGGACTAAATTTATTCTGACCTATTTTGTAATTTTACCCATGTTTTATCTCTCAAGTGACAGCTGCAACTATTTTAATCTTGGAATTCAGCTGTTCCTTTGATAGGCTTTCCCAATATGACAGTCATGTGTAGAAGGATGACTCATTATATTCTCCAACTGCTAGTCCTCTTCTGCATTGCATCTAGTTAGGGCCCTGCTTCCTGGTCTGTCCTAAGGCTGAATTGGTATCAAACCACATAACATGAGAAGGTAGGAGTCGTGGCCAAGACAGCTGGCCCAAAACTTGAGAGCAAATGAGAGTATGGAGGGATAGCAGCACAGAGAAAGGGAAATGTAAACTACAAATGCCATTTTTTTTCCTTAATCTAATCTAAAAAAGCCTGTTACCTGGGTGACTTACTGCCAAGCACGGTTCCTTCTGCTAACCAACTCTGGCTGATAATCTATTTTATTTATCTCAAGCCTATTTATGTTTGCTAGAGGGCAGAACTTGAGAAGAAAGCAAGCTCTGCAATAACAGTGATTTCTGAATATTTCCCTCTTTTAAGGAAGCTGGTGGGGTAGAAGGCATTTAGATTTGAAGGAAGATAACTATGTTGGCTTATTAATTAGAATTTGAAATATAGGCCTTTAAAGTCAAACTTTCTACCTGAATTAATCTATGACTGTATTTTTTTCTTTATATTTCTCTTTCACAGAATGCAAAGCTTTTAATTTTAGTATATCGAAAGTCTTGAATAAAAGAGTACAAGATTTTTTAAATTTACTTATTCTTTTTAAATAAATATAATTTTACAGGATAAAACTGCATTCTCTTTATTATAAATTTAATCATGCAGACAACATAAAGATTATTGCCCAGATATTATTGCATATCTCAAAATTACATATATTTATAAATACCACATTTAACTATCATAGTTTTAGTGAAAAATTCTAAATCATATCACATGCTATTCAGAGAACATCCAAAGACCCAAGTAAAAAAAAACAAAATATGCACCATTAAGAAAGTTAGATTACTGATTTAATTCCATTAAATTTAAGCAAGATTTTGTTTTACTGTCCAACTGATCAAGGAAGACAGAGTACTTTGTCTTTAAAAAACTTGTTTTACATAAGACTATATACCAATAATCTAAGCACTCAATGGCACTTATTTTAAAGTATGTTATTAGTTACATTTAAAGCAAGTAGTTTGAGAGTGAATAGAATAAGGAATAAAGTTATGCACAGAACCATGAGGTTTTAAATAGTATATGCTGTTTATTCTTTTAAATAGAATTTGTGTGCAAGCATTACATATGTAGTTCATTTACATCTAAAATATCTAAATATTTGAATTTATTGCAGTATGCATACATTATTTCAAATAAAATCCATAACTTTAAACGACTTTTATATTAAAAATTTTGATAAAAAATTTTTAAAACATTCTCATACATTTCTTGGTAGCAAGTACTAAAAATCTAATGTCTTCTATGCTTACATAAAAGCCCTTAAAATATAGACATAATTATACAATATTTCAACAATCAGGCAAGAGAGGAAGAAAAAATACACAATGTTTTATTTGCTTTTGTGTTTTAGGTTTCATTTACCAGGAAGTAGCAAATAACCCTCATATCATTTAATTACAACACGATTACATAGAGGTACAAGGGAAAAATTACATAGCCAACACTTAACGAGTTTTCAGCCAGAGGTATTCCTTTATGCAAAGAAACTTATTTTTCAATATGGAAATAGTCTTTTCCATTGCCCTTGGTCCCAAGCATAGGGCCTCACATCAAGACATGTTCTTTGCTCAAAGTGAATCAATGTAAACATTTTCACTGCAAATCATCTTTTATTATAGCTGCCTTTTGATTCTTCACTCATCTCCAAAATGCTCTCCCCATTCACATACTTTTGTTGTCATCAAAGAAATTATAGGCTACTTGGGACTCAAATTTGGAAAAGGAAAGATCATCAGTGTTATACTTTTACAAAGTATCTTAAACAACTCATTTATTCACTGGTGGAATTGTTGAATAGATAATACCAACACCAAGTATTAAAGTCCCTAAGTAGCTCATAAAGTATATATCGCCCAATCACATTCTCATCAGAAGTTGCAGATATTTTCCAGTGAAACCACAACATCTTTAATTCTCCCTCACACAATAAACGGCTGTTAGGATTCTTAAATATTTTTAAATACTAGAGAACCATTTCTATTTGGACTGAATGACTTTCCATAGCTGTCTAATAAAATATGGTTTGATCAGTCTTCACTCTTATCTTCATATAATCCTTCCAAGTCTTGTGTACACATATATGCCACAATGAATTTATAAATTTCTTAATTTGCCCAACACATCTGAGGACCGAAGGTCTAGTGGAAGAGAGGTATCCACAGAGGGCATACTAGTCACATGCTGTGGGAGAATGATAGTGGTAGGCAGGCTCAGAGGAACCAATGTGATGCTTCTCTGGACGACCGGTGAAAAACACGGTGAACTGTTCTGAGTTAGAGAGGGACTGAGGGGTCTCTGTGCCTACAGCACTCTTCACATATAGGTAAAAGAGCTCTTCTCTGATAACCTTACCTGATCTGCAAGTCCCACTGGATCTATGCTGCTTTCTTCAGATCTAGTGAGGCATTAGCCACTCTAGCTTAGTTCAGAGGGGTGTGTGTGTGTGTGTGTGTGTGTGTGTGTGTGTGTGTGTAGGTGTGCCACTTGGGCAACATATCTTCTGATGATCTGTTTTTCATTTGGTTCTTAATAGAACTTTAAGTCTACAACTTCATGTTCTGTGCTGAATCACTATTAACAACTGATATTACCAATTCTAGACATATTTTCAGGTTAGCATTCACTTAGAACCACTTCTGCCAAACTTTTGGACTGGGACAATGCAATTTTTCAAAATTAAAAAAAATTTAAAAAACATTTAAAGTGACTTATTTTAAATATTCCCAGTAATATAACCAATTTTTGGACATAGCAAATTTCCTCCCAGGAACTAGAAGAACACATTTGGAAACCACAACAATACCTACCCTTACATACCTTTATTGGGCAACTCTTGTGCTACATGCACTATAAACTAATCTTGCAATTCACACTGAAGTCAGCTTTTCTCAAAAATGAAGGCCAATTTTTGGATGACTATACCACCAAAACTCCTCATGTACTTACTTCAAAGAAGTTATACAAATTTTAAGCCTAAATATTTATTTTTTTAAAAAATCTGTATCAGTAAAAATGTAATTCGAGTCAAATTTCTTTTTAAATTTTAGAAAAGAGTTTTATTTAAATGTTTGCTGTAAACTATGTAAATTTTAACTAGATCTATAGTCTTAAGACTATACTGAATTCTGCACAGTACATTTAAGTCACTTAAAGTTATTTAAAGTTGATCAAGGCATGTAACTATTATATCAGTTTCAATGCAGGACTTTTCCAAAAATGTTACATATTTGGACTGAAAACAAACTTATAATAAGAACTTTCCCTATCTTACATAAACATACCGTAACTCTACCACTCTGAATTTTAAACAATTGCAAACATTCTTCACTAAGAGGATTTTATACATAAGAAAGAAAACTTAAACTCCTAATTCTTTCATTTGCCCAAAGAAACTACTTAATTATGTTAATTACTTACACAGCTAATACTTTGACTCTGATCTTGCATGGACAATCACATGAGTAATTAACTGAACTTATGTAATAAAATTTCCTGCTGATTTTTAAAGTCACAGTTTGAAAGTTTAGTTTTGGTAAAATCAAGTTACCAATAATGCAATTAATTTCCTACAAAAAAGTTGATAGAAAATTTCTTTATGTCAACTTGCTGTATTTTGAAAAATATTTGAATTACATATCCAATATTAGAGCCCCTAAAAGATTCATCTAAGATCCATCTAGTTAGAATATTTAGTAGCTAAGATATCGCATTTCTTAACCAGGGGTATCCTCAGCCATTAAACCATCAGAATGTTATAATCACACAACTAAGTTTGAGGAAATATATTTCCTGTGAACTGTGAATTTCAAGCTATTAAATTAGCCTATATTTCATTTCATGTGTTTTATATCAGCAATGAAACTGGACTGAGTTTAGATTTTAAAATTAAGGAATTTATGGTAAATGATATGTAGTAAATACATGGACAAATAGTAAATATTTGATTAACATAAGCAAAAAAGCTTAATCTAAAATGACACATCAAATAGATTTATATTTGAGGTACTTATGCCAATGAAAGGTACTGTTCATGACAGTTATAAAGTGAATAATTTTAGCTGGAAATACCGTGCTGAATCTAGGAATATTAAATTTGCGCTGTCTTTATCTTAAGCAGCTTTTTAATCTCTGTGTTCAGAACTAAAAAGATATCTTTGGAGCTAAGGTCTTTATTTAAAAATTTATTTCATTCTAAAGGAATTCATTTCCAAAGCAGCATGTATGCAAGCAGTTTGTCAGAAAGGCAGGGGTGAGACAAATATTTGTTCTATTTTTCCATTTAAATAAAGAAGTCAATAAATATTTATTGACTGTTTATGTGCAAGGTGCTGGTAGTGTGCCATTAATTTTAAAGATAAAAAAGTATTAATGATTTTTAAAATAAATGCCAATAGTTTAACTAAATTGTTTAAGCTTTTTTCTTCAAATGATTTTATGACTTATAGACTGGACAAAGGAATCAAGTAAGAAAAAAAAACTCTGGCTTCATTTAGTAACTCATTACTAACTATATTAGGCCATTTTACAACCCAAAGTGGAACTTTCATCATACTATGAACAGTGAAAGTTCTATTCTAGTGAAAATAATTTGGTGCAAAATTAGAAACCTACCTGAAACAAATCTTTTTTAATTAAAATTAATTTAATCCCTGACGTACACCCTAGGTTGTATAAAAACACTATTTTCCTTTCACAGGTAGAACAAAAACAACAGAGTTCAGTCACCAGGCTTTCAGCAAATAAACTGCTCTATTTTACATACATGTGATAATAATCAACACATGTACATAATTACATTATCATCCTTTGTCATTTAGACCAAATGAAAATAAAGACAAAACTTGAAAAGCACTGTCTATACATCACTGGGTCTCAACTCTACAAAAGCATAAAACAAAAAACCCTGAAATATTTTTAGGGTATTTTTAAAAAGGAAGATAAATGGCCTACCTCAAGCATCTGATGGATATCATAATGCACAAGATGAGCTCTGGTACTGATGATTATTGGGCTCTAAATGCAGCAAAGATTTTGCAAACCAGAAGAGAATCATTTATCTTCTGCAAGGTAGGTGGAGAGGGAGACAAGGCAGCAAAATCATAGCATTTTTCTTCACAATTCATCCTTTTATTCTAACCACATAATCGCCTACTGACATTTTTAGAGAAATCATTCCTCTCTTATGGAAGTTTTTAATTAGGTCTATTCCAGTTCTTACTGTAATACAAAAATAGACCACAGTAATAACTTGATGAAATGCTAAAGAAAAATTTTTTAAAAAACTATTTAATAGCTTTCCTTACTAAAGGACCACATGTAGTGAAAGACTTTATTTTCTGATAGTAAAAGACTGATTATTTCAAACACCCAACAAGAAGGCAGATGAATATTAGCATATCTTGTCATCAAGATGCTAACAGATATTTAGAAGTTTTAGAGGGATTCGCAAAATGAGATAGAGCTAAACTATTAGAATAGGCACATTTGAAATGTCCTTCTGACATACCTACTAGTATTAAATATTGGTTGGTTGATTGCTTTTCCCAAATCTCTTCTTTCATCAACACATATCAAGGAAGGATGTGCTCAGTTCTAGAGAAAACTGCGTAAAACAGTTCTCTTGAAGTCAATTATTAAGAAAAGGGGGGGAAATAAGTTTTCCAATAACATGGATTTCTTCTATCAGGAAGGACAGGATTTGAACCCAGACTTTAAACTGGGAATTAAGAAAATCCAAGTTGTTAAAATACCTCTGAAATTAAGGTTGTTTTTTTTATTTGAGCCAACCCCAAAATTTGGTTATCAAGTAACCAAAATGTTATGTATTCTGACATGATAAACAAAGGAAAAAATGTAAAAAGTGCACATATACAAAATCCCCATATACCTAAAAAAAATCTCACAATGCAGGAAATATTTTCCATGTGCAAGCTAATTAGATACATATAATGAAGCAAAAGTACTTCATCCTAATATTTAAATGGATAAGCTGTGCCAGAGTCACCATTTCATGTCCCAAAATCCATTGGTTAATATTGACTATTTAGAAGCCAAGCCCCATACAAGTAAGTGCTGGTTGCTATGAAAACATTGATAGAAAAGAGAGCTAAAGGTCATTTAAATTCTGTCGACAGAATTAACCAGATAAAACAAAGTGCACCACACACATGAACACAGCCATCTTTTCATGGTGAAAAATGCTAGTGCAAGTAATACGTTTCTGAAGAATCTCCATTATATTTGTAAATTGTTCTTTAAACTCTTAAAGTTGTATTCATGCTTATAAGGCAGCTGGAAAGCTGAGAAGGTGTCTTGGAATAAAAGCTACTCTTAGTTTTTCTTTCCTAAAATTAAAAACAGATGTTGTCATGGAAATCTTGAATAGCAAATATTAATAAAGAAGCACAGACCATGCCAAGACATGTCAGATCAGCACATATCAGCACAAATGTTAGGTTGTAATGAAGTAGCTTGTTTTTCAATATGCCATTTTTAGTCAAGTTTTCCATTTTGATGACTCTTGTTGGTTTGCTCCTTTCTTATGAGAGAGATGACTCTGAGGCATCCCTTTGAAATTTTGATCATCCACATTACATTCATTACATCTAAAACACCACTGCAACCAATCCAGGCACTTTGGGCAGCAAATCCTAGTCTGTTGAAACCTTCTGTTCCAAATACAGCATAAATATGACTATAGAAAGGAAATATGACTGCAATCCTTACGATGAAGAATACTACTGTCATTAGTACGCCATTGATGATGTTAGCTTTTGAAGATTTGGGGTATCCTAGCACTTCAAGGAACCACCTGAAAAATAAAAACATTTATTAAACTAAATCTATATGTCACAGATGATATGCAGTAAAGATAAACATTTTTAATTTTTGCTTTTAGAATGCAATGGGTTTTTTCCCATTCTACATGACAAATATGTGCCCATACTAATTTTGCCAAATTTTATATCAATGTTTTAAGAAAAAATTTGTATATATAATATCAATATTAAATATAATGGACACATTACTACAATCTACAGTAAACCTAAAAGTTCAAAGTAAGAGTCTAAAAACAATGAAAAGAAAAAATATGTAATCAATGGCAACTATTCAAATATTCAATAAACTCCAGTGGTTCCCAATTACCTCCAGGATCAAATATAAAATTCTTGTTAGCTTTTTAAGCCCTTCACAACCTGAACCCTTGTACCTTTCCAGTCTTTTTTATACCTTACTCTCCCCCTCTACATACACACTCTGACACTGGCTTCCTTACTGTTACTCAAACAAAACATTCTACCTCTTCAAGGCATTTTCAGTGGCTGTTGCTTATGTCTCCTGCTTCCTGACTTCCTTCAAATCTCAGCTAAAATACCACTTTTTGAAAGAAGCCCTTCTCAATCCCACACATCTCACTGAGATCATCTCCAATTTTTCCTGTGTTTTTTTGTACATAGTTATTAGCGTATTAACTCACTCTTAAAACCATTAGCTCTTTAGAAGCAAGGGACTGTTTTGTCTGGTTTTTTTTTTATATCCCCAGCATTTGCACAGTGCCTGGCACATGGTAGATGCTTAATAAATGTTGCTGACTTGACTTAGAAGGTAAATAGACAAAGCAGTTTTTAACAAAATATTCCTATCTATAGCTTTGTAAACACAGGCAAGTTACAATGACCCTGTAAAGAAAGGACAACAATTCTTACGATTTTATTTGGTAGATGATAAAACTGAAGAACATCAAGCTTAAGTGATTTGCCACGGTCTGATAGCTAGTGAATGATTTGTTCAGGTCTCCATAAAGGGCCAGGTCTCCTTGTAGAGGTACATTAGTGTCATATAGTGGGTTGTATTTGGAGTCAGAAGATCTGGGCTACGATCTTGCCTCTAACATTAACTAGTAGTGTGGCCATAGATAAGTCACATGACCTCTCTACATCTCAGCTGCCCCATCCTCGTTGTTGTTCAATCACATCTGACTCTGTGACCCCATTTGGGGTTTTCTTGGCAAAGGTACTAGAGTAGTTTACCATTTCCTTCTCCAGCTCATTTTACAGATGAGGAAAATGGGATTAAGTGATTTGCCCAGGGTCACACAGTAGCTACTAAGTGTCTGAGGCCAGAAGATGAATCTTTTGGACTCCAGGTTCAGCACTCTATCTACTATGCCACCCAGCTGCCCCAAGTATGGGTATATCACATGTTACAAAAAATATAGTGTCTTATAGAATGTATGGTGCTGAATCATACTCTCTGTGGAATCTTCTTGGATTTGGCAAAGATCATCTTCCCCCAAATTATGATACTCAGAGTCTTATGCCCAAAGAATATAATGTTGTATTACACTACAAATGAGATCATTCATTCAATATGTATTTATTGAGTCTGCTCAGTGAGCAAGGTACTATATGCTAGGTAATAAATGAAAAAAGCTTCTAACATTTTTGACATGCTCATTATTTACAATAACTAAATCGCTTAGAAGGCTCTAAGACAGAACCTGTGATATACAGTACTTAATTTCATTCTGCATTATAAGTTATGTTATAGTGAGCCTCTATAATAATAATTTTAGAGATAGAGGTACCAGGGCAATGCAACATCATTTTCTACTAAAAATAAATGGCTTACCAGGCCAACTTTAAAAGTCATCAACAACATCAACAACCTACCTTTGATTCACAAAAGGACTAGAAAACTCTGCAACGAGACGAAAGTTACCAAAATATGCCAGCATTCCTTTTGTCTAGATTATAAACATTGAAAACAAAAAAATCAGCACATTTAAGAAAATGTACAAATTACATCTATTTTCACTGTAAAAGCTTTTCTTCATATTTTAGTATTAATTTTAATATTTTAATACTAAGAATACTAAGATTACTAATTAAGAATACTAATATTAAGAATACTAAGAATTTTAATATTAAAACAGTCAAAAATGAATATTTTCTTCTCTTTTACCATTCATAATTTTATTAATCCTATAGAAGAATGTTAGAAATTTGAGGGGGTTTTGTTTTTAAGAGTAGAAAAAAAGGCAAATCATTTACATACAGTACTATTTTTGTTTCTGAGGAAAAAATTGCAAATAGAGCTCCCAAAACTAAATAGGTTCAAAAAACAGTAATAATTAAGGACTATGTTCTTAAATGACTAGAGTTTAAAGGTTGGCATGTTTATACCAATCACTTAACTTGAATTTTATATTGATTATTAAATATTAACAAAATCTTAAATCAATATAGCCAAGATCAGAAGGAAATCAGAAACTTTGGGGGGAAATTTCATAGACAGTTTCTCAGATGAGTCTCATATCTCAAATATATAGAGAACTTTGTCAAATCTGTAAGACTATAAATCATTCCCCAACTGACAAATGGTCAAAAGATATGAACAGGAAGTTTTCCAATGAAGAAATCAAGGAAATTTATAGTCATATGAAAAAAATGCTCTAAATCATTATTGCTTAGAAAATTACAAATTAAAACAACCTTGACATATCATTTACCCCTATCAAATAGATTAAAATGATAGAAGAGAAAAGCGACAAATGTTAGAGGGGATATGGAAAAATTGGGACACTAATTCACTGTTGGTAGAACTGGGAACTGGTCCAACCATTTGGGAGAGCAATCTGGAATTACGCCCAAAGAGTTATAAAACTGCCTATACCCTTTGACCCACCAATACTACTATTAGGTCTGTTTCCCAAGATGATTAGGGATGTTTCTAGCAGCTCCCTTTGTGGTGACAAAGAACTGGAAATTGCAGGGATGCCCATCAATTAAGGAATGGCTGAACAAGTTGTGGTATATGACTATAATGGATTCCTACTGTGCTATAAAAAAATGATGAGCTCAATGATTTTAGAAAAACATGAAAAGACTTGCACAAAATAATGAGCAAAATGAGCAGAACCAAGAGAATGTTTTATATAGTAAAAGCAGTATTGTTTTAAGAACAACTGAGTGACTAAGTCATTTTGACTATTATAAATACCCACATTAACTATAAAGGGCCTATGAAGGAAGATGCTATCTATATCCAGAGAAAGAAATGATAAATAGAAGTACACACACACACACACACACACACACACACACACACACACAAACATACACACATATTTGTGCCTAATGGTAGCCATCTCTAGAGTGGGGGAGAGGGGAAAAAAGAAAGTTACATGATAACTTTATTATTTATTTACAAGGAAAAGGAAGTTGTATATAATAGTTTCATGTGCAATCCTCTTTTTTCTATTCTACTTTGTTGTGGAATTGCTTGTTTTATTTCTTAAGTTCAGGATAAAAAAAAGAAAAGAGTTTTAAATCAATAATATGTCAGCTGCCAATATAAAAAAAAATCTGAAAACAAACTAAAGATTTAGCAAACTCTAATATTATAGCCCAAACATATGTATATATTTATTTATATGTATATATATAATACATATATATATACACCAAATTAACTTAATCTACCAAATTTGTACTGATAAAATGTAGATATCTGTTTCAATTCAATAAAAAACATTTATTCAATATGTCTATTACATGCAGAGAATTGTGCTACGATTAGATTAAACAGTATCCCTAGATGCAAGAAATTTATAGGGTAGTTGGAGTACAGGACACATACTCGAGTGATTAACACGAAACAATGACAGCATTAGAGAGGCACAAAGTATGACATGCTACTGACAGGGGGTAATGGGTAGAGGTTATGATTTATTAAAGACATAAAGGAAGACTTCATGGAGGTGGTGGCATTTAAGCCTTGGGTTTTAACAGATGTACAGAAGTTCAAGGGGCAAAGACGGGGAAGCAGAATGTTGCAGGCACAGATATCAATCAGTCAATCAAAAAAGTATTTATTAAGTGCCTAATACGTGCAGTCATGGAATTAAACACTGGATGTACAAAGACTGGAATGACAACAGATCCTGCCCTGGAGTTTATGTCTGAAAGGGGGTTAGGGGTGAAATAGAATGTGAACCTCTAAGTACATACAAAACAAAATTAATTTGAGATAGTTTTGGAAAGGAGGGTGCTTGAAGCTAAGAGGGGATATTAGGAGGGGTCTCATGTAGAAGGTAAGACTTCAGCTGAGTCTCAAAGTGATTCTAAATGTAAACTCCTCTTTGATGTTTAAGATTCTTCAGTACCTGGCTCCTTCTTACCCTTCACACTTAATAATGATAATAACAATAATAATAATGATGATGATAATAAGCTAGCATTTATATAATACTTACTATGTACCAGGCACTGTGATAAGCTCTTTACAAATATTATCTCATTTGATCCTCACAACAACCCTGGGAGGAAGGTACTATTATTATTCCCATTCTACAGCTGGGGAAACTGAGGCAGACAGAGGTTTAAGTGACTTGCCCAAGGTCACATAATTAGGAAGTACCTGAGGCTGGATCTGACCTCTGATTTCTTTTTCTTTTTAAAATTTAGTTATTTATTTTTAGTTTTCAACATTCACTTCTGTAAGATTTTGAATTGCAAATTTTCTCCCCATTACTCCCCTCCCCCCACCCGAAGATGGCATGCAATTTGAACTCTGATTTCCTACCACACTTAGTAGTCGTGTGATTCTAGTCAAGTCACTTTACTTCTGTTTGCCTCAGTTTCCTCAACTACAAAATGAGGATAATAATAGCATCTACCTCCCGGGGTTGTTGTGAGGGACCAAATGAGATTAATATTTGTAAAGCACTTAGTACAGTGTATGTTTGTTCCCTTACCATGTATTTTATACGTACCTCTTTATTTACAAGTTGTCTCCGCCATTACTATGTAAGCTCCTTAAAAGAAGAGACCGTTTTTTTCTGGCGTTGCCTTTCTTTGTATCTTTAGCACTTAGCTCGGTACCTGGCACATTGTAAATGCTTAGTAATTGATTGCTGATTGACAGCTTGCCTGAGAGAGGATATAATCTGACGTATGCATAAGGAAGCCTGGTCTTACAGCAGCGTGATGGAAGGGTGGATTGGAGAGAGGAGAAACGAAACCAGAGAGAACTGGGAAGGGAGCCCTCCAATAGAACAGGCAGGTGGTAATGATAACTTACAATAGTTGTAGTGGGAGTAAAAAGGAAAAATGAGAGGCCATAAGTAGTGGTAAAATCTTTAGTGCTCATTAACAGGCTGGATAGGAGAAGTATAACCCAGGTTTCCAGCCAAGCTTGGGTCAAGCCTAGAAACCTTGGTTTATAGAAATAAAGAAGAAAAAGTCAGTCAAGATTTCAAGAATGGGAGACTGACTGGATGGTGATGTTGCTAATAGAAATAACTAAATTACAAAAAAGGAGCAGGTGTGCAGAAAAATATATTATGCTCTATTTTGAATAAGTTGAGTTTGAGCAACTGGTAGTAGGATACCCAGGATTTTTAATTTTGTGCCATAGGAAATAGTTGCTCCCTAGATTAAAAGATGTACTAAAACCCACATTCTTTTTAAAAAAATTAGTTGCTCCCATCTCAAAGGGAATGTTATAAAAGTGGAGAAACATATTTATCTCTAAATTATTTTAGGACTTGCAACACTTTTTGTACATAAATTCTGGAACTCCTAAAGTTTAGGAATCAGAAATTTAGAGGTCAATTAAAATTGGTTTTTATAATCTCAAGGTCACTGTCCTCAGTGAAGCTGGAATGGGTAATACGAAAAAATAGATAACCCTAGAAACAAGATTGGCACATCACAGATAGAATGGCATTCCCCATTTAACTGCTTCCAGTCAAAGGGCTCAGCACTTAACTAAAAATGTACCCAATTCATCAAAATACATGATTTCCAAAATATCTTCTAGGCTTAAAACAACTTAATGCCAGAGTCTAATAGTCTTTAAAACTCTACGTAAAACTGGTCAGTAGTTTCCAAACATCTGTCTTGGTCACTAAAGTACCAGCCTTCTAGTTTTGGGAGGTTTGTTTGTTTTTTTACTGAAGCAATGGCCCCAAACTTCTGGCTAAAAATGAGGGACAACACTATCTATATTCACAAGTTTCATTAATAACCATTGATGTCCCCACATCCTCTGCTCCTTTACCACCTCTTTTGTCCCTTCCCCAAAGCTAGGCCTGAAAGCAGAATTAGCAGCAAGATATAAATCTGGTGAGCTAAAACCATCAGCCAGTTTGGCACTGAGTACAAAAACTGATTGGACCTTTAAAATTTGGAGACTATTCCTGAATGGAGATACAATCCCGGATGAATTCTACAACGTCTTTTGTAGCAGATAATATTAAATCCTCCAAGTAGATACACATATATTTTATAACAGTAGTAAATAAGATGCAGCATTCTTAAATTTGTACCATGAATTTTTAAACAAATACTCATAATCAAGCAAAACAAATTCCCACATCTCATTCTGTATATTTAGCCCATCACTTCTCATCAGGAAGTGGGTGGAACTACTCATCACCAGTCCACTGGAATAATGCTTGATCATTGAATTGACCAGAATTAAGTCATTGAAAACTCCATTTTTACAATGTAAAATGCATCTCTAATGGTCTCTGAGACATTTTAGAGCAAGAAGATACCCAAACGATCTATGTAGAAGAGTAAAACGATTCAAGCATATGGCAGTTTAAAAGGAGACATTAGGCCAGGGGAGAACAAGACCCTAGTGCCTATGCTATCTAGAGGAATAAAGAAAAGGGAAGAAAAAAGAACTGGTTGAAATTGGATTTCTCCAGGAGACATTCTCAGGGACATAGCCAAA